CTCTGCCTCCCGAGTGCTGGGATTAAAGGCGTGCGCCACCATGCCCGGCCCCGATTCCCCTTTTAGTGTTAAAATTTAATCCCATCACCCAGGAGGCAGAGGCAGACTAGTCTGTGAGTTCAAGGCCAGCCTGGTCTACATAGTGAGTTCCAGGCCAGCTGGGGCTACAGGGAGACCCTGTCTCAAAAAGAAAAAAAATTTTTTTTTTGTATAGCGTATATGTAAAAATACATAAAAGGTTATCTGTTCAGATTAACTAATAAAATGAACGTTTTAGCTTTCTATTACTGCAACAGTATACCTGAGATAACAAAGAGGAAAGATAATTTTGACTCATGGTTTTAGAGGGTGTGACCATTGCTTTTGGGTCTTTGGCAAGGCAGTTAAGTACACCATGGTGGGGATGTGAAACAGCAGAGTTTTTAGAGACAGAGTTTCTACTGCAGGGCTAGGACATGAGAGAAGAAGGAGGAGGTGCTGGGGACCCAGCATCCCCTTCTGGGACATGCCCAGAAAACCTCCTCACCCTCCTGTCCTGGCCACACCTGTGTTCCCTCCCCTGCTGTGATGTGCTGCCTTTCCTTTAGTCTCCAGCCAGCCGAGCTGGGACAGACTACCCTGGAGTCAGGTGTGTGTAACAGTGGCGGAAGGAATAGCAGGATGCCCTGAGGGCCTGGGCGGTGACTTCCAGAACCACCAGGAGGTGCTGGTTTCCTTTTGCCTGTTGGTGAACTTAGAAGTGATACAGTGTGATTTTCTCCGGGTTTACTGAAGCCTCTGGCTGCATCTGTGCTATGTGGGTTCCCTGTGACCCGGCCAGACCGCACTGGTTCCACTGCTGTTGGAACTGAGCTTATTGGCTGTGACCATCCAGATCCTCTCTGTGCATGCTCAGGTCAGTTTGGAGCACAGTCCAGACCATTCTCATTGGGTCAGCTGCAGCTGGGTGCTCTCTGCCTTTGCTGTTCCCTTAGCTTTCGGGTCCTCATTTGTGTGGTGGGCGTGACGTGGCATTACGTGGCTTTAATCCGTGTCTTGATGACTGTGAGTCAGGGAAGGCATCCTTTCTTGTACAGAAGCCACCTGCGGCTCTTCTGTCTCTGCTTTTATGGGGTTGTTTTTTTTCAGCTCCCATGTGGCCACTGTGCTCAGGCCATCCGTACTTGTGTCCCTGTTTGTGCTTTGTCTTTTTAACTGTATCGGTGAGGTAGAGGCAGCAGCTTACCTTGTGGTGGCTGGGACAGACCAGAAAGGGGCTGGAATAAGATGTCTTTCAAGCTAGGCATGGTGGTGCACACCTTTAATCCCAGCACTCGGAGGCAGAGGCAGATGGCTCTCTGTGAGTTCAAGGCCAGCCTGGTCTACATAGTGAGCTCCAGACCAGCTGGGGCTACAGGAAGGCCTGTCTCAAAAATACTCCCCCTCCCAATAAAAAAGCAAGATTAGGGGCTAGAGAGATTGCTCAGTGATTTAAGAGCACCTGCTCTTTCAGAGAAAAGGAGTTCAGCTCCCAACACCTATGTTGGGCAGCTCACAACTGCCTGTAACTCCAGATCCAGGGGATCTGCCACCCTCTTCTGGCCTCCTTGGACATTTTCATACACAT